CTGTCCCAGCAGTGAGGAATTGCCAAGAGCTCCTGAGGTAGGGGTAGAACTTGATGCCCAACTCCCCATCCATGCTGGGATTCGGTCTGGTTTAGACTTGCACAGGTTTCATCTAAGGTGTCTCAACCATTCTGAGCTCATATGTACAGCTGTCCTCCTGTGTCCAGAAGACACTGCTTCCTTGTAGACATCCACCACCTCTGGCTGTTAGTCTTTCTGCCCCCAACCCACTCTTCTTTAATGATCCCTGAGCCTTGGGATGAGGGGGTATGGTATATATGTTCCCTTTAGAGCTGGGTATTCTGTAGTCTCAGTCTCTTATTCTCTGTACCTTGAGCAGTTGTGGGCCTCTGTGTTGATCATCATCTATTGCAAAGAGAAGCTTCTCGGATGAGGGGTGAGAGATGCCTTAATGGGTATAATGATGGGTTATTCTGAGTTGGTTTAATACTATTTACATTTAGCAGAATAATAGTAGTAGGCTCTCCCTTAGGGCCTATGACCTGTCTGGACATAGGTTCTTGATACAATATCAGTGCCAAGTATGGGATTTTATCTTGTAGAGTGGTCCTTAAGTCCAATCAGTAAGTGGTTGGTTACTCCCATGGCAGGTTTTAGATGTTAGAAACTAATTTGTTCTCTTCTTGATGAAAAGGACCCAGTAGGGAGTAAGAAACTCACCAAGATCAGGGAGTGGGTGGGAGAATCACCTGCACAATGCTCTTGACAGCCAGATGGGCTGGAAATCAGTAACAGGAGAGAGAACAGAGGGTGCAGGGTGGCTCAGTGAGCAGGGATGAAGGATGAGGCTAGGGTAATGTGATGAGCCTTTTCAAGTCATTCCATTTTCTCCATGAAACTAAAGCAAGAAATTCAAGTAAAACAGAAGATCAGGGGAGGGATTATAAAAAGCCCCAGGGAGTGGTATCAGGTGGTGGTCGTGGGTGTGGTGTAACAGCCAGGGGATGGCCAGGGCCTACTTCAGCCCAGCAGTCACAGATGCAGCAAGAGAGGAGTGGGGAGGCTGCATACCGTTCCAGCCTCATGCTACTGCACTTGCTGTAAGTAGGGAACGGTAGCAGTGGCCCAGAGCACTGGTCCTCCTGAGTAAGAGGAGCAAGGGGATGCACCTCTGGTAGGAAGTACTAGTGTTTCTTCAAACAGAGAAAATGAGTTAACTTGCCCGATGTAACTGAACTGGTGATGCAACTGAACTGATGATGCAACTGAACTGATGATGCAACTGAACTGATGATGTAACTGAACTGATGATGTAACTGAACTGATGAGCTGCTGACTTGAGCAGCAAACTAGCAGTGAAGTAGGAAGCTATTCATCTTTCCACGGCCTTGTCTTCTCCCTACCTGATGAAGGACTTGTGTTGGATATACAGCCACTCCATCTATCTGCATGGAATTCCCTTTGCCAGTATGTCTTTCACATCACATTGACTTATGATTCTGTTGTTCAGATCTTCACTTTCCTAAGTACTTCATGGAACCTTAACAAATAGTTTTAACATGGCCAACATACAGGAAAACCAGAGCAGTCATGTCTAGTATGGGAGATATTGTGTACTGGTAGCAGTCTGCAGGCCCAGACCTGTGAATGGATGTCTTTGTTGATTTTGGAACATTCTCCATCATGGTAACCCTGGTCCAGTCCATACTTTTTCCTATCCTTGGAGTCACCAATTGTGTGAACGTTAGACCTTTTCTTTTGCTAATGTCCCTTTAATGCTTGCTCCGTTTCCCACCATTTATTCTTTCTAGACTTCATTTGGGATTTGTCTTCGCCTAGTTTCTCACTCTCCAGTGAGATTCTTCAGTTGACTTTTAGTTCTGAACATGTCAACCACAGTTGTCTGATGTTCACATCTGACACTGCCAGCAGATTCTCTGTGCTTCTGTTTCTAGTTGGTCTCCTGGGTTTGGGCTTTCATACCTTTTTTATTAATTTTGAGACACAGTGTCACTATGTACCCTTCGTTGACCTGGAGTTCACTAAGTAGATAAGAGCGACCTAGAACGTGTGGCAATCAGCCTGTTGCCTGTGAGTTCTGGGACTGTAGGCATGTCTGTAAGGACCTGGTATGGTCAGAGGGACCACCTGAGGTCATGGCATCTGCTATCTTTCTTCAGGGAATACTTGATTTTTCTATGGCAGGAATGAGGAGCTGGGTAACCTGCATCCAGAAGATGACTATTGGTCTCTTGTTTTCCTGAAGTCTGACCTACTCATGATAGTCTCACCCTGCCTAGTTCCCAGAAGGGAGCCTGCTGAGATTTCTGTGTATTCTCAGACTTCAGTAACCTAATAAATCCCCTCAATGAAAATTTGAGGGGAAAATAGTACCTAACACCAAAGATGTATGTAAGTGTGTGTGAGTGTGTGTGTGAGTGTGTGTGTGTGTGTGTGTGTGTGTGTGTGTGTGTGTGTGTGTGTGTGTGATGTGTGCCTTGTGCCCCTGGGAGTCAGAAGAAGGCATCACATCCTATAGAACCAGTGTTATGGATAGTTTTGAGCTGCCATATGGATCTTGGAAACCAAACATAAATTTTCTTCAAAAGAAACAAATGATCTTCACCACTGAGGCATCTATTCAGGCCCATGTGGAACACTTTTCAAAACTGCTGACTATAAAGGAAGGTTCAGGCCTCTATGGGTCATATTCCTAGGCGGGTGGCCTGGGCTGTATAACGAAGCTTCCCCAGCAAGCTAGTGATGGTGTTTTCCATGGTTTCTGCATTTCTGCTCTGAGTTCCTGCCCTGACCTCCCTCAGTGATGGACTGTTACCTGGAATTTACTTTTGGTCACGGTGCTTATCACAACAATGAAAAGGAAACTAGACTATGAATTAACATAAATATAGAATTAAGTATGAATCAACACACATCTAGATTTCCTTCCTATTAGAAACTGAACATCAATAAAAGATGCCTCACAGCTGTTTTAGCCACCAACTAATTGGTATGTCCCAACCACAGGCTGTGATCCACACACAGGTGTGCCAGTACCAACTAATTGATATGTCCCAACTGCAGGCTGTGATCTACACACAGGTGTGCCAGCACCAACTAATCGGTATGTCCCAACCCCAGGCTGTGATCCACACACAGGTGTGCTAGCATCAACTAATTGGTATGTCCCAACCACAGGCTGTAATCTACACACAGGTGTGCCAGCACCAACTAATCAGTGTGTCCCAACCACAGGCTGTGATCTACACACAGGTGTGCTAGCGCACAGTGAGCTATAGTCTAAGCAGAGAAATGACACCCGAGACTGGATGTGACATGTGCCATTGCATAGCCACCAGGGAGAACATGATAGGGATTTGTAAATGATTGAATGAACACATGTTTAATTTTTAAATATTTAAAATTGAGAGGGGGTAGCATGAGTGCCCCAGGGGGTCTACCTCTGTAGAGTGAGCCAAATACAGTTAAAGTCTCTGGGCTAAAATTCATCCATATGGAACATGTACAGACTTTTCATACATGTCATTTCCATACATGTTATTTCTATTCTTCACACAGACATTCCACAGTGTTTGCATTGAGCTGTTCTGTCTATTACCCATGACCGCGCAGGTCATTTCTTGTGTAATCCTCACATGGACGTAAATAAACCCTGCCTATACTACATTTAAGATCCACTTCCTGGAGCCTTTCTAGGACTTGGTCTAATGGGCCCTTGGTGGTAACTAATGCATTTCAAAAGTCATAGTTTTGACTTCAATTTCTGTTAATAAATCCCCAAAAACTAAACAAAGGGAAGATGCTTCCTACAAATGAAACTCCAAAAGATGAGAATACAAGGCTGTTTCTTCTGCAATCATGGAAGAATTGATGGGGTCTGGTGTTCTTTGCCTGATGTTCAGACAAAAGCCTGAAATGACGCCTTTCCCACTGTGTTTTTCTGATGAAAAGGTCACATCCTCATGACACATTAGCTTTTGAGGGATTAAGGTAAGCACCTTGGATTTAGTCAGTGGTGATGGGAGTGACTCTCTGTGACCTCTAGAGTGAGGCCTTAAGTGCCCTGCGTTACGAACTGGTCTCTAAGTGGAAGGTGGCTTCAGAATTCCCCTTCTCAGGGTATGGCTGTAGCTTAGTCTTAGTTGGTAAAGTCTTGCTATGCAAGTATAAGAATGTGCATTCCAATCCCCAGTGCATATGTGAGAACCTGGGCATGGCGGCACGTGCTTGTAATCCTGGTGCTGAAGGAACAGAGACAGGCAGATGGGCTTACTAGGCAGCCAGCCTAATCATGTCTTAGTGAGGGATCCTGTCTCAAAATTTCAGGCAGCTGGGTTGCCCGAGGAGGACTGAAAGCTGGGTATATATGTTCTATTTCCACATGCTTGCATGTGTACATGCACCCTTGCACACACACACACACACACACACACACACACACACACATACACACACACAGAATTACTCTTCTTAGATCCAAGTACCCTGTGGCCAGAAGCTCAGGCCATATTGAAAGGCCACGTACCAGTCAGCACATGTTCAACTGTCCTAACACGTCCACCTTCAGGCTGACCCAACCCCAAGGACCTGCTGTCTAAGTGAAGCAACTTCTAGATGTTTCTATCTCCCTGTTTTTAGCTCTCAGCCCTGGTCACCTAGCTATTTCATTTTTCTCAGTGGGAGTCCACAGGACTTGTGAACAAAACACAAACCCGCTGTCTACAGCACTGAGGTCCTGGCCTGCAACTCCGTGGAACTTTAAGACCACGGGATTTGAGCATGTCTGGGGTCTCCATCTCAGCTATTTTCAGCCCATCGTCCTTCAGCAAACGGCCCATCTCACCATTCCATCCCCATCGTCCTTCAGCAAACGGCCCATCTCACCATTCCATCCCCATCGTCCTTCAGCAAACGGCCCATCTCACCATTCCACCCCCTTCGTCCTTCAGCAAACGGCCCATCTCACCATTCCATCCCCTTCGCGCTGGTATCCACACTTTGTCATGTACTTTCTCCCGTTCTTGAGGACATTCGACTATTACAGGATCATTTGGGGATAATTATGAAGAATCCTATCCTGAATATCTCCGCGATTTTGTGCTTAGGTTTGGAATTCATTTCACAGACAGGATTTTCAGGAGTTCAATTACCGGGTTAAGGAGGACTAATGACAGAAGACTCTCGAGGCATTCTGCCACATGCATTTCCAGAGAGTCAGAAGAACGCAAGTAACACCAGTAACAGATGAGTACGCCTGCTTCCCTGCAGCCTCTCCAGCTAAATTTAGTTTGGTAATTAAGAAAACAATTAATTTGAAGCCTCAAATTCATAGTTCGAATTATCTCCCAAACACACATAGATGGGGGGTGACAGTGAGGGCAGCTAGAGCAATAGCCACATCACAGCCGGAACACAGGACCCAAAGGAGGAGTGATTTAACCAGAGAAAGAAATCAGAGAGAATGACCGTCCAGCTTGGAGAGAGAGGAAGCGTGAGATGGGCAACAGGGAGATGGAACCATGGTTCAAAAGGAAAGCAGGGTCTGGCAGGATCCCCTGCAAGGTCAGGTGCATTCCTGGATCACCAGGATGAAGTGGGCGTTAGGCTGAGGCACTAAAGAGGCCGGATAGGGTTACTGCATGCCAGGATGACGCTCTAACCAGGGTATCACCGCACCAGCGATGCCACCAGTTCACCACCCACGCTCCCCTCTGATGATGGCTGGAGATTGGAACACACGCTTGAGATGAATATCATCCAAAACCACAGAGAGACATGGACTGGATTGGCTCTTCGCTGAAAGAGCGGCGCCGTGTTTTCTAAAACACTCAGCATCCCCCACGTACTTCTAAGGGACCGAGTCGTGGGTGGGGCACTGACACCAGCCCTTTCACGTTTTCCTTGACATCTTTCCTCTGTACCACCTGATACACTGTCCCGTTTCTCCAGATACTCAAGGCTTGCGGTACTCATGCCTCATTACATGCACTTTGGTGGGGCCGTGCCTGTTTGTGTAAATGCACACTTGCTTTAAAATGCAGCACAAGGCCTTCACAGATGCAATCCGTGATCCTGGTTACATAAGGCAGGATAACCACCAACCTGGCTTTCGAAACAAGAGCCCAAAGCCAGCTCCCCAGCTCCCTTCTGCATTGCCCCTAGTCACTTCCATGATTCAGGCTCTGGTAGCTGTGGGGCTCCTTGATGTGGGAGGAGCAGCCGAGAAGACTGGAGCCATAAAGTGAGTTCAGTGCTGGGGGCCCTGCTTGGAGCAGGTGGCCCTGAGAAGGTAGAGGGGTTGGTCATGCTCAACATTGTGTCCCAGCTTGATGTGCGATTCCTGGGATGGGCAGATGCTCACCTTGGACATTACCTATGTGTAGAACTTGCTTCTGTTCAAACACACACTCACCCATGAAGGTGGTCTGTCATCACCCCATTTTCACAGGTGGGTAAAAGGACTTGAAAAGACTCGTGCTGGGTCTGTCTTGGATGGGGGTCACAGGTGCACAGGTCTCTCAGGTGTCCAGCCCCAGCACATCCTGTTCCCAATCCATAAAGTGAGCAAACAGGCAGGAGATCTGCAGAGGTTAATGGTGGCTCGTTCCCTCAGACGGTCGAGTTAAAGGGAGTCCCAGTTTTCCTTCATTTCAGGTTTCATATGCAACACAGAAGTCCCTAAGTGTCAGCCACTAGCCCTGCATTAATCTTCCCCTGTGGCATCTCCCATAAGTCCTATGTTCCGTTTGAATCAAGAAAATGAGTGGACTGCACAATGCTTGCCATTAAATTACCCCACAAGATTCTTAATAATGCAGAAGCGTCACCCTGATAAAGGTTTATTTTTTTGGACGCTGGTGGTATGTCTAACATTATGTGTAGTGCGCTGGCTTTATTGTCGCCCTGAGAAGTTACTCAATTTTATTGTTCTCTCTTCCGTTTGGCTGGCTGATGCTATAGGCCACTTCCCAATCTCAAGAAAACAGATAACTGTTGGTTGTAGGAACTGAGTCACACTTGAGCTCAACTGCCCCTCACATCCCTCCACACTCCTCACCCACAGTACAAGGGTCACACATTTCAATCAGAGATGAAAGCAGCATTTCCCATAGAAAGTCAGTCATCTGGGAGCACTTTAGAATTATTGGAGAGAGGGAGGTTGGCTGCTGGTCTAGTTTGGACATGCTTTGTCTCCATCGGCTCATGTCCCGGAGGTTGAACCCAGCTGTGGTAATGTGGAGAGGGTGTGGAACTACGAAGAGACTGGACCAATGGGGATGTGGCTGGGTCCCTGGGGCACTTGGTTTAGGTGGGAATACTCACAGGTGCAAACTAGTTCCCCACAGCAGGACAGTAACTGTAAGGAGTGATCTTCTCCCCTGCGACTCCCGGGTCTTCTTTCTTGCCATAGTTATCCCATGGACACACAATCCCACCACGGTGAAGTCATCCACCATAAGGCCCTCACCAGAGGCCAAACTGATTAGGCTGCCTGGTCTTGGACTCAAGGATCTAAAACTGTGAAAAGTGTATGTCTTCTTTATAAAGTAACCCAGCCTCAATTATTTTGTAACAGGAAAAACAAACAAACAAAAGCCTGAATCAATACAGCTCATGCTGTGAACGCTTGGCTCCCACTGTGCTTCCTGCTCTTCCGTGGTGTGAACAGCCCCCGCCCCCGCCGAATGCTCCTGTTAGCATGAACTTAGCTCCTCTACAGGCCTGCTCTGCCGTGATGAACCAAAACCCCACGAGATCAGGAGTCAAAATAAATCTCAACAAGCCCTTCCATGTTTCAGTGAGGGGACGTCATAGCAACACAGAGGTGCGTGACTCAGAGAAGCGGAGCCTTGTTACACCTACAGCAAACTGTGTAGTTCTTCTCTGGGGTGGTTTGTGGACTAGAGAAGCCAGTGACACGCTGGGAGAAGAAAACATCAGCGGTGTGCCCAATGCCTGGCTCGGGGGTTCCAGACAGGAACAAGAATGCTATTGGGAACGGAACCAAGGCGATTTGGTTTAGGTTCCGGCCTGTGTCCTGAAAATTAGAGTGAGGTTAGGCAAGAAGTAAGTGAAGAAATCACAGTATTCATGCTGTGTCCTGGCTATGGTCGGTGGCTTTTAGTTGGGTTTACAAAGATGCAGAAAAAAAAACTGCAGTTTGCCAGGTGAGCCTGCTAAAAGCTGCAGGAAAAGGCCTGTGCTACAGACTAGTGTCTAATACAGAAATCAAGCATGGAATTACTATAGCACAGATAGATGGTATTTTACAGACTTGTGAGACTGCATGTATCCCAGGTTCCAGGGAATAAAACCATAAACACATTTAAAACATTATCCTCTGATGACAGTTTCTCCAGGCCCCCCCCCCCATTGCAGGAAGCCACTTAGGGACATGGTCTCCCACGTTTAGCCACCCAAATGCTCAGACGTTACTTCAGCCATGGTCCAAGCAGGGCAGCCTCTGCTCAAGCTAACCATGAAGTTCTAATTTTGCAAGCAAAGAGAATGCAAGAGTTAAAGCCTCATGAAGGTTTCTAGGGGAAAAAAAAACTTGAGGCCAGAGAATGTGTATCATGGTCCGATTCCCCAGAGCAATGCCTGAAAAGGGGGCTGGAGCAATGGCTCCGTGGTGAAGAGCACTTACTGCTCTTGCAGAGGACTCAGGCTCAGTTCTCAACATCCACAAGGCAGCTTAAGGTCTAAAGCTTTGTCTGGCTTCCATGGGCACTGCATGAACACAGACATACATGCAGGAAAACTCTCTCTATGTGTGTCTCTGTCTCTGTCTCTGTGTCTGTTTGTGTTTTTCTGTGTCTGTTTCTCTCTGTGTCTCTGTCTCTGTCTCAGAATTGTCTAAGAGGGCCATGCATAAAGCTGATAGGATGAGGCATAGATTTCAATGGAGACATCAGGATGTTGGAAAGGGCAGGAAAATGAGATACCTACAAAGGAAAGCTGCCTGTAATGAGTGAAGCCAAGACGAGGGAGCAGCTGTGTGGGTCCAAACGACAAGGCCATGGGTGTCAAGTGTCCTGTGTGCAGCCACTGGGCTACAGGGTGGAGGGTGTCCTCCAGGGCTGCGGTCCACCCGCTTCTCTGTTTCCACGCTTCCCTTTTGTATATAGTGTGCACTGTGTGACATCACACATTAGAAGTCTGTGACATTCTGTTTCACAAGGCACAGCTGACAGACTGCTTGGAGTCTTAGTAGAGAGTCCAGATTTGGACTTTTGGATGATATTGAATGTTCTTGGAGTCAGACTAGATGCATTTTGTTGTAAAAAAAATGATGAGTCTTTGGGGGCTATAAGAATGTTGGAGCTTGAATCAGAAATGTTGGGGGACATTTTGAGTGTTTGCTCCCCAGTAGTGTTTTGTGAGGACATGGAAACCTTAGGAAGTGGACCTGGTTGGCGGATGTAGACTACTGGAGGTGGCCAGAGCTCTCTGCTGCCTGTGTACACCGTGATGTGAGGAGGCTTTACCACATGCTCCCACCACCATCTAAGGGACACCATTGCTGTCATGCCTTCCTTACCAGGATGGACACAAGACTCGGTGTGACTGTGAGTCAAAATAAATCCTTCCTTCCTTGTCTGTCAGGGACTACGGTCATGGTGACACAATCATAACTAATACAATAACTTGCTACCTCATGTGGTTCTTGGGGGAAAAGGCCTAGAGGAATAATCCACTGCACATCCTTGGGAGGGACCGAAGGAGATGGAGTTTGCGTGGGGATTCATGCATAATGAGGGCACAGAAGCTGGGGCAGTGTCAGAAAGTGCAGGACCTCCTAACTAAAGTCCAGGAAACAAGCTGAAGAGAAAGGTTGTCTTTTGGCTGCACTGGGGGCAATGTGGTGTTTGTGCAAAAGAATGGGCAGAAGGAGTCTCCAACTAGGGGTGCCGTGATACAAATCCTAAAGACATCTGTTACTCAGTCACCCAGTGCAAATCTGGACCTCTGGAGAAGGCCCTCAGCCAATGTGGAGGGTCACCATACCAGGTGCGGGTGGGGCCCGGAAGAACGGAGCTTGGAGACCTGAAAAGCAAACGGTAGTGATCCACGCCACCAGCCCTGCCGTCAAAACCACAGCAGTGAATATGCAAGAGACACATATGCCCAGCAGAACGCACGCAGCCAAGGCAGAATGTGACCAAAGGCTTCTCCTGGGCTGTTGTGTGAACTGGTCATCCCGACCCCGCCCAGCACCTCTCACAGGGAGAACAGGAGTGGGGGCCAAGACGGGCACAAACATGGAGGGTGGGGGTTAATCTGCAGCTGGGGCCTGGGGACTGATGTCCTTGGAGGGCACTGGGGAGGCCCCTGCCGCCTTCTCGCACTTGGCCCCCACCCTCAGCTTCTTACGACACGGGTGGTACCACCTCCCCGGCTGATGAGCGGTCCTGCCCACCCAGCTATGCACGCAGAGCAGCTACCCATCCACGCGGCGCAGCGCGGGGGCTGCAGCTGGTACCAGGTGGACTTCTGTGCAGCACAGTGGTCCCGGGGAAGGAGGACTGGGGGGCGGGGCTTCCGAGGGGTGGGTGGATTACCAAAGGGAACCTTTTGGCTACATACACAGAGTCAGGGGATTTTTGCAAAATCTGAGGGATGGGTCAGAGTGCGGGAAGGGGCCAGATGCCTCTGTGTGTCTACATGGCCTAGACTTGGGATGTCAATGAATATATATATATAT